GGTGGGTGGGTGGGTAGCTGTGGGAATGCCCTGCCTTGAGCTAGGTCACCATGACCTTCCTCCCTTGGGGTAACCCACTGGAGCTGGCTACACAACTTGTGCCACCCTTGCAAGGAAACAAGGTCTACAGAGATGGTTGTCTTGGGGCTGGTGGTCTGAAGGGTGGGGAACTCTTGGGTCACTTCTCCTCAGATACTGTCCCATGTATTGTCTTCCAAAGCATGCTTTCGGTGGGCTTTCTACAGGTTCATCTTTCCTTAACTGTTCCTCAGCTACCCATCGGGCAACGTGGCCATTCTCATCACGTTCTCTGAGGAAGCCCTGTTCACCTACTGCATCCTGGAGGACAGCAGATACCCAGGGATCAGGGCTGCCTTTGGGAGCCACGGCCACGGGGTCTGCTTCCACCCTGATGGCCATCTCTGGTAAGTGCAAACCCAGAGGTGACACCAGATCCCAGCTCAGCCCCAGCCCACCCTGGTGGCACTCCAGGGCTTTAACACATGCTGAAAGCATCTTCATTTTTGGTTTCAGTTTTATTTTTTACTATGTGAAAGTGCACGTCTCACATCGTGCACCAAGGTGGAGGCAGCATGCATGGTGTGAGGGCACTTGGGCATCACCCCATCTAAATTGCCAGTGACATCTGACCAGAGATCCCGGCATAAGGACTGATTTTGGCCAAGGCTGGCCAAGCAGACGAAGAGGTGGTTTGGACCCCTTATAGTACAGGGAGGAGAGCACATCTTCCTTACTGTCTTCTCTTGGAGCCCCAAGAGGCTGGAAAAATGTGGGCTTATTATCTGCACAAGAGGGCAAACCTCAATAGCTGGAGTCAGTTAGCCTGAGGTCAAGATTGCTTTTGGTTTCCTTCTCATATCCAGTGAGTGTACCTTGCTAAAGAATGACTCGGGTGACCAATTTCCTCCACTCTAATTTGGTGGAGGTGACCGATAGCTTACAGTAAAAACTGCTGGCGTTTGAGCCATCAAATATTAATTTTTGACACCCCACCCCTAGACTCCAAAGTTTCCCTTCAGAAAGCTGGGAACTGGGGGGAATTAGTAAATCCCACCTCAATTTTACAAGTCGTCCCTGTGTTGAGACTAATTAATGGACATCTTAAACATCTAAAACTGGGTATTACAAATCATTTGAAATAGCTTTTGCAATAATGCTTCCATCGGACTCCCGCAGTCGTACCGTTTGCCTGCAGACATGCTGGTCTTTCATCCATCACGCCGCAGCCAGGTTTTTACAGCTCCTCACCGAAGCCATTGCTGGCAGCTCTAAACCATCGCCGACCCCACTGTGGGGCTCTCCTGGCCCCGCTGGACCACACACTCCCTGTCGGCATCAGCCACAAGCCGGTTGCTGGCTTGCCACCGAGCTGGGGTGGGCTGCTCTGACTCTCCCAGCCTCTCCTGGCAGCCATAAATTAAGGGCAATGTTAACTGGCCACTCTGATATTTGTAAAAAGAACATGATGGGAGGAGAGCAGAAAACCGACAGCCTGTGGGTAGGTCGCCTGTCCCACGTATGGACCAGCTCAGGCTTGTCTGCGGCTGGCACTGTAGCACATCACAGCTGCAAAGTTAGATTTATTTATTTTTCCTGGCCTTTTTTTGCTGGTTTTGGTTTAGATTTATTTATTTTTCCTGGCCTTTTTTTGATGGTTTTGGTTTTTTTTGGGGGTTTTTTGTTGTTTTTTTTTCTGAGCTGCAGCAAGAGATAATGCTGGGGGAGGCTGAGCTGCTCTTGCAGCCCAGTGAGAATCAACTTCTCCACCATTCTATGATTCACACCTAGGCAGGAAAAACTCAACATAACACACGCTGTGAATGATAAAAACTCCCCATGAGCTATGGCTGTGCGGATGCTCCAGCACCCAGAGCCACCTTCCCAGGCTGCCTGGGGATGGGGAGTACTGATTCGTATTTGTATGCTGTAAATATGGGCTGTTTCCCCCCACACGCTGCGTTTCCTTCTCCTTTGCAGTTTGGCGAGGCCATTTCCTGCACCCAGCCACACGCACGACCACACACGCACGCAGAGGAACAGTTTTTAGCATAAAGATTGCCAGAGCAAAAGAAATTTCCATGTCCAGGGACTTTCAGAGGATGTAGACATGCAATAGGAAGGGGACACACTCACAAAGCCCATGCTCTGCCCAGGGATTTTCTCTGTCATTCAAGGGGACTTACTGCCAGCCAATTTCTGTAATGTGCTTTCACTGTTGGACAAAAACTATTACCAAAAAACAGTCCCTGACCTGATGCATCAGGTCCCAGCAGTGACTCTTGGATGGCAAAAGTCATAGAATCATAGAATGGTTTGGGTTGGAAGAGACCTTAAAGATCACCGAGTTCCAACCCCCCTGCCATGGGCAGGGACACCTCCCACCAGACCAGGTTGCTCAAAGCCCCATCCAGCCTGGTCTTGAACACCTTCAGGGATGGGGCATCCACAGCTTCTCTGGGCAACTTGTTCCAGTGCCTCACCACCCTCACAGTAAAGAATTTCTTCCTAATGTCTAATCTAAATTTCCCCTCTTCCAATTTAAAACCATTACCCCTCGTCCTATCACGACCTTCCCTGATAAAGAGTCCCTCTTAAAATAAGAAGTTTAGTCCAATTGCAGATAAAAGATGGCATTTGGGACCAGGAAGTGGTTGGTTCTGGATTCATCCAGCGTTGTGTTTGTCCCCAGGGCCTCCCTGAATCCCTGCACTGGGATCTACTTGGACCAGGAAAGGGCCAGTCAGAAGTGTTGGACGTGGCATGACTTCAGCCACCACACTCACAGCCCTCCGTTCCAGTCCATCACCATGAAACTGAACGGCTACATCACCATCAAAATCCTGGCTCAGGATCAAATTGATTTATCGTTCACCAGCCACAGCGATTGCATCCGTTTCAACATGGGGTCCCGGCTGAAGGTGAGCACTTGCTGTGGTGGCCCTGCTCGGCCAGCTCCTGCCTGCCAGCCCTTTGGAGAAACCATCCAGTGGAGATAAGCTTGGGGTTGCTGCATGGGACTGGTCACAGTTTTTCAGGTGGAAAAATCACCGTTTCATTCAAAAGCAAATTTCCTGCCTCTGTGAATCTTAATGAAATTGCCTTTCAGGAAAGCATTTAGATAAGATTGAAATGCTGTCGCTGAAGGGTAAGAACAGCACGTCTCGCAAATTCATTTTGAAACACTATTTCTTTTCAAAACATTTATATTAAATGTCAATACAAACACAAAGCTCCTGATTTTATCTAAACAGCATTTCACTTAACATGGAACAAGAAGCTGGGGAGAGGAGCAACAAAATCCCTTGATATTTCTTCCCACCGCTGACCCTTCCCCGGAGGTGGACGTGCTGCTCTGGCCAGGGCTCAGCCCAGTTCGGTGCCAGTGTGACTGTCCCAACCTACTGGTGGGCATCCCTGTCCTCCACTGGATGCAAACACAACTGGTCGGCTTTGAAATGCAGGTGACACATCGCCAGGAGCTCATGCTTGGCTGGGGGCTGCGGCCTCAGGGTGAAGGATTTGAGTTGTCTTCCCTGGTGCCAACACAAACCAAACGTTGACAGCCTTCATAGCGATAGTCTGTATGTGGCCACAGATATCTTGCTAATGGAAGCAAGTATTGGAGAACCTATTCAGAATGGTAGCAACAACCCACGGTCAGTTTGTGGGGCCAAAAAGCATTAGCACCTGCTTTTCCATCCGCTAAATTCAGACTTCTTTTCAGGACCTATTGCTACATTGGGTAAGGAAGTTATTTTCCTTGTCCCATTACATCTGGGCAGCCCGCTCCCACCAAAGGAGCCCAGAGCCATGAGTTTAGCTCCTCAGTCCCCTTGTACAGAATCACAGAATGATATGGGGTTGGAAGGGACCTCTGGAGATCATCTAGTCCAATCCCTCTGCCAGAGCAGGTCCACCTAGAGCAGGTTGCACAGGAACATGTCCAGATGGGTTTTGAATGTCTCCAGAGACAAGAGACTCCACCACCTCTCTGGGCAGCCTGTAAGTGCACTGCAATAGGATCATCTTCCTAGGGGAGCCACAGGGTTAGTGTGCTCCATGGGCATGGAGGGAAAGGGCAGATGGGACATGCTACATGGGTGAAGGTTTGGGTTACAAGGAATGCTCTCCCTCCAGGGGGTTCAGCATTAACGTTACCTGCTTTGCACGGGCTCTTTTTGCAGTTAAAAGACCCAGAGGCAAGTCACCTACTTCAGTGGCCAGAAAGTGAAGAGGAGCTCTTCCTTCAGTCTAAAACGATTCAGCTCAGGAGCCTGCTGTCCAAAATACAGAGAGCGTTGAAATGCTTTTGGCAACCCCTCTCTCAGTGATATCACCCCTTCTGTTTCATCATCTTCTATCACCATGAAATACTTGAAATGAAGATATTAAGACTCACAGGAAGCAGTTACATCAGCATTTCAGATCAACTTTTCCTCCGTCAAGGTGATAACAGCCACTTTGTGCAGAAAATAAAGCTCCTCATTTCAAGCTCATGATGCCTATCACCTGGTACATCAAGCTCTTGTAACACCAAGGACTTCTTTTTTGAGAACACTTGGTGGATCATCGTACGATCAGTGGGTTTATACACTGAATGTGCAGTACTTTGAAGCAGCTGATGAACTGGACTTTGGGAGCTTATGCCAAGTGTGACTGACGAGGCTGCTTGGGCTGTCAGCCAAAGACACCCGTGCTTAGGTACAGGGACCAAGGACAAGACATGAGAGAGGAAAGATGGAGCCTCCTGGGTGTCAGGGCTCCAGCTGGTGGTAGATGGTAAGTCCCATGGTTTAGTTGCATGGTTGGCCATTCTTCTTTTTTTTCCTCTCTATTCAGAAGTCTTTATATCAAAGATCTGATTTGCTCCACAGGGTTGGTCTGTCCTGGGTTCAGCGAGGATAAAAATGCACAAGGGTAGGAAAAAGCAGCATTTGTGGGCACTGGGCTGGATCTCCCTGCAGCCACCACCCAAGTTGTTAGAGCAGCACAAACTTTTTTGCCCTTTTCCTACCCACATCACTTCGCCAACATCAAACCTGCAGAGCTTGAGGAAGGGACTATTGGTTTTCCTTGGAGAACACCTGGCACAGCATAAGTTACACTGCAGGCATCACTGTTGTACCAAAAGAAGAGCAAATGCCTGGCCAGCTGCTGCTCTGCCATTCATTTCATCTACAAGAGACATAATCCAAAGGGCCAAACTTCTTTAGGAGGCCCCAAGCGCCTGGGAACCAATGGTCACACATGGCTGCCCTGCACCAGTCAGACTGATGCCAAATTCCACTTAAAAAGGAGTGTTTTTCCTTCGGTTAGTTCATTCTAACAACCAGAGGGTTGTCAAAACCAGAGGGTGAAGGGAGCCTACAGGAGAGATGGGGAGGGACTCTTTGTAGCAATAGGGCAAGGGGTAATGGTTTTAAAACTAAAGAGGGGAGATTGAATTTAGATTTTGGGAAGAAATTCTTTACTGTGAGGGTGGTGAGACACTGGAACAGGTTGCCCAGAGAAGCTGTGGCTGCCCCATCCCTGGAAGTGTTCAAGGCCAGGCTGGATGGGGCTTTGAGCAACCTGCTCTAGTGGGAGGTGTCCCTGCCCATGGCAGGGGGGTTGGAACTCAATCTTTAGGGAGCCTTCCAACTCTAACCATTCTGTGATTCACGCTGGCATTACAGGGGACAAACCACAAACCTCTGGATGATGTGTTTCTACAATATCAAGGGCCAGAAGAACAGTGTATGGATAATGAGAAATTACGGGTAGATGAGTCTGTGAATAACCAACAACAAGACCAGCTATCAAGTGTAATAATTCTTGTGATTTCTGCCACCAGCTCCCAAGTTTTCTCTTAGTAAAAGCCAACTAGTTAAAATACATTCTTCTCTTACAGTCGTGGTTTCTTCCCCCTAACAAAACTGCACGCAAAGAGATCACTAAGTCACACAAGACCGTTTGTCAGTAAAGAAAATACAAATTTACTTTTATTATAACCATAAAGAGGCATTACTGTAACAATTAGCTGTACATTCAGCACTCGGGTATACATCTGTGCCAAATAAAGTCAACTCTCTTACTGCTAAAAAAGAACACTTCTCCTCAGCAATGCACTGCCTGTGCTTACAGGGTGTTTATTGTCTCTGTATTACAGTCACCTTGACAGACAAGCCTCAGGATACAGAATAAAGCTTTACTCTCAGACCAAAATAGGAGGCAACATTTTTATTTAAAAAAATTAAAAACGGCAAAGTTCTAGTCAGATAATATAAAGCATCTTAAATTAATCTTTTGAAAGTATTTACACTATTTGTAAACGTAAATATCTGAAACTGTACAAGTTTAAACAAATACTCATTTAGCAAACAGGCTGTATAAACTGATTGCTCATTTAGTTTTTCAACCAGCTGTCCCGGAGCTGTCTGGGTACTCTGAGAGAGAGAAAAGATCCCGAGCACAAGAGTGACTATTGCAACGGTTTCCCCTTCATATCTTTTCTGTACAACGTCTGTATTAAGTCAGTCAATAACTCTGTACAGCGACCATGCAGTCCTTCTGTAAAACTTTATAAAAAAACCAAATATACATATATTACAATCCACTGGACATTATTTTACAGCCTGTATTTCTACATAAGTAAAAAAGAAAGGGTAAGTTTTCTTCCTTGTTAGTTCCTTTAGTTAATTTTTAAGGAGTCACGTAAGGTCCTACGAGTACCATTTATGTGCCTCAGCACCACGGCTGCAACCCCTCTCCTGGTAGCTTTAAATCCTACCATCTTAAGCCTCCAGCCACGTGATTTATAACAGCAAAGTTACTAAATCAAACCACCACCCAGGTGCATGGAAATGTCTACATATTTAGAACTACAGAACGGGTTCTATAAATAAGTTAAAAATCTGCCATGTAAGTCACCGCGTTTTTCTCCTGCTGTGCCGCACAATCAAGACTCACCCACTGAGGCACCCTAAAGCTGCTTGTAGTGTTTGGTTCCGTTAATAACCAAGTGTTTAGCGTTCAGCTTCCCGATCACTGCATATTGAACACCCTGTATTGTTCACCAGTTACCAAGCACTTATCCCCCGTTCACGATGCTGATTTGGCAGGCGTGCACGCTCCCGTTTCTGGCAGCCCCCCCACCCTCATATTAGCACTTACTCCAGGGCACAGAAGGCTGTACGAGCTCCAGTCCCCACTTTGAACAACAAAACACCACCATCTGATCTTGGGTAAGGCCAAAAAAGACCCAACTCTAACCTGGAACTAAGTACCCGAGAATCTCAATTCCAAGCTTTGCGGCAAAGCATCTGAAAACATGCGGTTCCCTCAGAAGGAAGAGAAATGATATTGCACAGTTTTCCATCGCAAATTCCAAGGAATTGAGATTCTTTACACGGAGAATGGAACTTCAGGTCAGATCTCACAGCTCCCAATCGCAACAGTGTAAGAAAAACTGCACGTCCAGTGTTTCAAAAAACGTTTCACATGCGGGAAGTAGAAGTTTTCCCAACTAAGAAGCTCTGAATTATGTTCAAGCACGTGGTGGATTACCAGGATTTGGGGGGGACTTAAAGAAAAATCGGAGCATTGCCTGCTTAAGTCAAATTGTCATACCAATGTGCTTATCTCCAAGCCTTGCAAATACCTATTACCACTCCCATTTGATTCCCTGCGTGTTATTGCCAGCATGTCTTTGAAAGTGCAGCTTTTCACTGCATACATCAGCCTACTAAAGGAAAGAAAGAAAGGTTTTCACGTAGAAAAAAATAATAGGATTTCAACTTTGAAAACATCTAGAGAAGGCAGTCACTGAGCTCCCATAAGAGCGATCAGCAAAGGGTATTTTGCTTTGTTTGCTTTCCCCACCACTTCTCAAACCAATGAATAGGAAGACCTTTCACAAATCAGTGTTTCGGTTTTTTTCTTTTTTTCCTAAAACAGGGTTAAGCAGACTGGAGAGTTTTGATGCAGACCAGACTGCACAGTGGGATCCTTCGTTAATTTCAAGCAAATGTCTTCACATTCCCTTCACTGGCTGGCATTCAGCTGAAGCTTACTTTAAGCAGCCCCACTGTTGGGCTACTTGGACATCGATAGAAGCAAGTTCACCTGAAAGGCAAAAGGAAAACCTACATTAGACAGAGCAGCTGAGTTTCAGAACTGATGTCTTATATGTTAACCTTTAAATAAAATTCCTAGGAAGCACCTGGAGTCTTAGATGAACCAGGAGAAGGCAGCTAGAAAACAACTGGCCAAAATTTCCAGTCAAATGCCTACTCATAGGCTTTTTAAAATGAGATTGTTGACAATGCTGACTAGTCACTTCAGCAGCCACAATCTACCCTGGCAAACTTTTTAAAATTACTTCAGGCATCGTCAAGGAATTCCAAAAAAAACTCTGTTCACTGGCAAAAAAATGTTAAAATTCATCTTAGATATATGAAAGACATTTGGAATCCTTTGCAGTACTTGCTTCTTCCCACAGATTACAATATTGTTTCCCATACACTTCAGTTTGTATGAGAAGTGATCCTAAGGTTTAACGGATAAAAAAGTAAGAAATCTCCTTCAGGATAATCCCACCTCCTTCCAGCACATCACTTCCATTCTCTGCTCCAGGAGAGTTATCACACATCCCTGTGGCCATATTCACCCAGGCCGTGTCCTTTAATCCATAAACTAGATTATCTGTTTAAATATTGGCATCCTGGGATAATCATGATTCTACCCACATTCCCTGGACCACTAAGGTCAAACCGTGATTTTTAAAAACCTACTTGGTTTCTGTCAGAGCATCCTAATACAGAGAATTCTTAACCCAAATCATCTCTGAGACTAAAGACCTTATTATGTAGGGTTACATTTCCATAAGCATCTGCACATTTTCCCAATGTAATTTATTTCCAATGAACCCTTGCGATTCTTTTCTCATGCTTCCTAAATGTAAAAGTTGCTTCTTTTTGTATTTGTCAAAACCAAGACTGCCTTTACACACACTGCCTCTTTTAAAGCAGATTCACTAGCTTTGATATCACTCTAAAAAGACAACATCCAGAAATGGCAAGACTCTGCCGTGATTTTGTGCAACTCAATCCCCAGCAACATCAATCGCCACCTTCAGTTTAAAAACTCTATTGGATATCCATTTAAAAAAAAAAAAAAAAAAAAAATCAAACCAAACCCCCTTTCAGCTGGGGGCCTCTGAGTTCAGATAAAGCCCCGAGTTTAATCATCTGGGATCAAGGGGGATAAGAAATAAATAAATAAGGATTCTGAACACTGAAAACACTAACAACGAAAAACTGATGTTAAAAAAAAACTAGACACACGAAAGAGC